TCATCCCCCCCCCCATCCAGTCCCATCCCAAATCCTTATCCTGACCCCTTTTAAGTGCTATATAGTCATTATGGCTTGGCACTTTCCCCCTGATAATTCCCTTCCCTTCCTCCTTGCCTGGCTGGGAGCCGATTTAGTATGTTTCATCTGCCGAGATGACTAAACCTAGGCTTCATGCAGGTCGATGTTCAATTCCCGGCCGTCCAAGTGGTTGGGAATCATCCCCCCCCCCCATCCAGTCCCAGACCCCTTTTAAGTGCTATATAGTCATTATGGCTTGGCACTTTCTGATAATTCCCTTCCCTTCCCCCTTGCCTAGCTGGGAGCCGATTTAGTATGTTTTCTCTGCCGAGATGACTAAACCTAGGTCCTGACACGAGTTTAATACAGAGTTAAGAGTGTTCTGCGTGCTGGCATACCCAGTGGCGTGTATCATATCAGCAACATAGGATTTGTTTTGGCATGGAAATTCCTGCACGGGCCCGTCTGGCTGGCACACTAAATGTTGCTTGTTTCTGTTTTACTTAGGCGGAGTGTGAGTATTTATGGCTCGTATGATCGCTTCAGTAAGGTTTTGTCCCCATGTGTTTAACAACTTCTGCTCTGTTCAATCTAAGTTGAAATCTTATTGGGTTTGCAACTGTGCACAGTGTTAGATAATGCAGCATAGCTAATCATGTGCACGTTGTGTTTGTTCGGAACACAGTTTAACAGCGTGTTTATTAAGGTACTAAATAATTTAGGACTGAGGACACCTCCCTGTAGGGTACCTAGTTCGAAGTCTCTTGTTACATAACTATGCCCCTGGAAAAACACATGACTTCCTGTTGGATAAGGGACCCCTAATCCAACAAAGAAGCCGACCACCCATATTCATTCTCGCAAGCTCACTCAAGATAACATGTCGGTTTGCAATATCAAAGGCAGACTTGAGATCTAGGAAGGTGGTATATAATTTCAGTGTGCAGGGTAAGAAAGGTGGCGATGCAATGATGCACACTCCTTCCATGCATCATTGCACCACCACCATGATATATAGCTCCTTCAGATACATAGCTATATATCTAGGGGGGGGGGGGGTAACATTGTTCTTATTCTATGGAGGAGACTTAAGGACCACTCTCGAATGTTTTATAAATGCAGCTAATAAGGGAAATTGGGCAGAACGTATTATCTTTATTTAACTTGGTAATTGGAATGATTATACTGTTGGTCAAAGAGATAGGAAGTTCCCCAGTTACATAGCTCATATTATATATCTCAAGAATGGGATTTCCTGGTACTAGAGGAAGCAAACAAAATGCCATAAGTGGTGCCATCCTCATCGGGTGATGTGACTTTACCTTTGTTCAGGGCGAAAACAAAACTCGGTAAATGGCACGTTGCATTCATCTTCCTTGTGGATCATGAAGTCAACGAGCCTTTCTAGATCTCCGTAACCAACATTTAATCTGATTATGATCTGGGGGAAGATTATTGAAGCTAGAGGTGGTTGCCCAAGCATCGACAACCTCGTTTGCTCTGTGTAGAGGGTGAGGGTGTGACACTTGAACGATCTTATCGCCTTTGAATATTCTTCCATGCCTGGCTGAGGGGGGTGTGAGAATTGAGACTTCACAAGTGTCCCAGTTTTCTTGCCTGAGCTCTGCCATGCGCTCCTTCGCCTTGGCTAGGGCTTTCTGAAAGAGCTTGAGCATTGCTGGCGTACGTGTTTCCCTATATGCAAGTCCAACTGTTTAGCAGTGCATTTCTAAGTACGCAGTTTAGGGTCATTGTAATAGACATGGTGTTTATTACTTTTCATATCGTTCCGACCACTGGTTGGTGCGGAGGGCCGACTTAAAGGGTCAGCGAACATCTGAATGTTCTGTACTAGATCGTCGTTAAGTATCTCGACTGTGGAGGGATCATAAGTGCTGTACCACTGACATGAGCGACAGTCTTTACGTCGAGCAGGAGGAACACTGAGCCGTTTGCGTTTAAAAATGCCACCATGCAGGATGGTATTTCAGATACAGAGTAGTCAATCTAGGATGATCTGACATCGTTTTTTTCTGACATCTTGTATAACATATGATATTGTAACATATCTATTACAATAGATGTGGACCAGACCTGAGTGACGTTGAAACCAACAGAGGTCTAGAATGCCTCCACAAATGTGTGGGTTCAAGGTCGCCCACAATCTTCACATCTTGGTGACTATTTAGTAGCGACAGCAGTTGATTCCCATTCCCGTTTCTGAAGCGAGAGCCGCCAATGTCCTTGTGTCTAGCATTGTCGTCACCAAGAATGATTGTGGGCTCTGCTTGAGCGCAGGCCGGAAGATCAATATAATTTAACTCTCCTGCTGGAGCATACAGATTAAATACATTGAGGATAGAGTTGCCCACATAAGTACTCGCTACATAATATTCTTGCCCTCAGTTTGCTTTTCTCGAAGTTGATGGGGTAGGGATTGTTTGATTTATAGAATGAGAGAGTTACTGGATCTGAGGGAGTAAGCAACAAATGAGAGCAATTTTGAGGGCGAGGTTCTTGCAGGAACTCTGCACTCCTGGAGACTTACAATATTGGTGTGTTCAGTTGTTACTTTATGATGTAAATTACAGAACTTTTTTTGACGGATGCAATGTTCCAGCTAAGGATGGATAACTCATTTGTACATTTCAAATAAGCATTATATAAGATTTATATTATTAGTCCACTTAATATATATTATCACTAGATACAACTCCAGGAACATTTCTTAGCATATTACCAATGTCCCATTTTCCTCTAATTGTTTAGTACACTTTTTTTTTTTAGATATATACAAGAGTTGTTACATTCTTGTACAGCCACTAGTACCATAGCGTTTCGGGCAGGTCCCTGGAACACGACCCCCCCCCCCTCCCCCGCCGCGAGGAATCGTTTTTACAACCAAGTACCCATTTTACTGTTGAGTTAAACAGAGGCTACAGTTAAGGATTTGCGCCTAGTAAATCCTCCCCGGCCAGGATACGAACCCATGACAAAGCGCTCGCGGAACGCCAGGAGAGTGTCTTACCACTACACCACGGAGACTGGGATGGTTTGCCTTTTCATCTATAGTCGATCCAATATCTTAGCACAGCTTTGGCAGTTAACCATCGTGGAAGGGCTCCTCTACACAAGCATTCCAGATCACTGGAAGTTTCACCTAATTGGCAAGGGAGCACATGTTTGGAGGGTTCAGGGGTGGAAGGAGGGGTATCTTCTTGAGTTATCTTGAGATGATTTCGGGGCTTTTAAGTGTCCCCGCGGCCCGGTCCTCGACCAGGCCTCCACCCCCAGGAAGCTGCCTGTGACAGCTGACTAACACTTAGGTACCTATTTTACTGCTAGGTAACAGGGGCATAGGGTGAAAAACTCTGCCCATTGTTTCTCGCCGGCGTCCGGGATCGAACCCGGGACTACAGGATCACAAGTGCAGCGTGCTGTCCGCTCGGCCGACCGGTTCCCGGGGTAGGGGGAAGGAGGGTGGCAGTCTTTGCTTAAAAGTTCCCTCATGACCGTGAGCAGCTCTGCAATGTTGCTCATGGATTTTCTCTCATATCGGAGCTGCTCTTTAAGCCGCTCCGTCTCCTGCTGTGACTGGTGCTGGTGTTCCTGCCACAGTTCACGATGGTCAGCATCGGCTTGATCAGTGGAGCGACCCAGTGGCGAGTTGATATGGAGGCTGAAGTGGCGATCCGTCTCAGCTTGATCCTGTTGCTTATCCCCCAACTTCCAGTTGACTGGGGTCCAGGTGTGGGAGGTCCCCCCCCAGAGTAGGTGACAGTCCCAGACCTGGGGAGTGACCACTCTACATCAAGGGCGTGCCCACTACTGGCAGAACCGAGGTGTGGCCATTCTACATCAGGGGCAGGCCCACCACTGGCAGAATTTACAGCACCTGGTACTTGTGGGGAAGCTGGAGTGATGGCAGGAGTCTTGGGTCTGGCACTGGTCCCCCTTCTGCACTTCGTAATTACCAGGTGTTGAGTTTTGTAGTCGGCTGGAGTGAATATCGCCTCCAGATGACTTTGAACAGCGAGTGGAGCTGGAGGCAGAACTTTGCAACCATTCTTCATGGTGGTGTGGAGGAGAAGGCCTTAGGAGGCAGGTTCCTGGCACTTTACGTGCATTAGGCTGAACAGAAACCTGCCGTCTGGCCCCCTGGTATACGTGTTGGTTGGCAGATGGTAAAGTATTTGATAGCCAGCTGCTACGAACAACGTCCAGATGGATCAGCACAGGTAGTAGAACCAGCAGCAGTACCTGGCAACCGTCCTCCCGGGTGGGTCCGGCCAGGCGCCCTACGGTAACGCCAATTACATAATCCGGCAAGGCATCATACGCCAATTATATAATCTTTTCTCCCCCTAATAATGAACAGTTAGCACTAACAACAAACCTGAAGCACCACGTTACCTCGTTCTGGAGACCCAGGAATGTTCACCTCTAACACTTCAGTGTCTGCCGCCTGACCACAATATTTGTCAATTTGCAGAATTGCTGCAGCGTTCAGGGGCTACCAATATCTTGTGCAAGATGCGGATGATGGCCACGTAGCTGCAAGTGCTCAGCCTCCCAAAACTGTGTCCGACGGTATATTCAGCTTGCTAGGTTATGCCCCGGCACTTTCCCCTCACACAAACTTTCCTTCTAACCCCAGCTGCAACATCACCCTCTTGGGTAATGTTTGTGTTTATAATTGATTGGACTGGTGGGATAGTAAAGACTAACAGAAGGGTGGATGGAGAGGGAAGAGGATTGAAATGTACCCAAAAATGTTAGATGAACATTAACCCATGTTACACCACAACTAAATGTTCAAATTACTGGCCAGAAGAATGGTTTACCACTCTGAAGTGGTTAATGTAGAGAGTTCTTAGGCTATACCTATTAGAAGGCCACCGCTGCAAGGTATAACATGTTAAACATAAACTAGTTCCCTTCACCTGTTGTACTTGTGGGAATATACACACACTACATTATCACCAATTGTGATTCAAAAGTTTTCCCAAGTAACTTTAATCCCTCCATACCTGCAGTGCTGTTGTACGAGACCAATTTCTTGGGTCTGGTTGACCATACCTGCAGTGCTGTTGTACGAGACCAATTTCTTGGGTCTGGTTGACCATACCTGCAGTGCCGATGTACTGATGCACCCTCGTACATACCTGAAATTACACATTAAATACCTCAAAATGCTAAATTGAACAAATCCTCATTTAAAGCTGAAGAAATAACTAGACAATCGCTCAGGTCAGACTGTTTGATGCAAAAAGCAGGCTTATTCCACAGAACGGCATAACCCAACCTCAGACTTGAGTCTTCTACAGCCCGTTCTCAACAACGGCCAAGTGGTCGTTAACCCGGCAGCCAAACATGAACGTTCTCAACAACGGCCAAGTGGTCGTTAACCCGGCAGCCAAACATGACCGTTCTCAACAACGGCCAAGTGGTCGTTAACCCGGCAGCCAAACATGAACGTTCTCAACAACGGTCAGGTGGTCGTTAACCCGGCAGCCAAACATGAACGTTCTCAACAACGGCCAGGTGGTCGTTAACCCAGCAGCCAAACATGAACGTTAAGTGGTCGTTAACCCGGCAGCCAAACATGAACGTTCTCAACAACGGCCAAGTGGTCGTTAACCCAGCAGCAAAACATGAACGTTCTCAACAACGGTCAGGTGGTCGTTAACCCGGCAGCCAAACATGACCGTTCTCAACAACGGCCAAGTGGTCGTTAACCCGGCAGCCAAACATGAACGTTCTCAACAACGGCCAAGTGGTCGTTAACCCGGCAGCCAAACATGAACGTGAAGAACGCTTCACATTTAACTAGTCCTCAGTCTATGCTCGTTCTTACACTGACCCATAACAGTTCATACATTTTAACACTAATTAAAATAGTTTGATATGAACTATGATATTTATTAGGTGAGGGAGACAAGTTGTAATACACACTTGCAATAATTTCATTCAACAACTATCATAGACCTATACACAATATAAATATAAATTAATATTTACTTATATTCGACAAAATATAGTACTTGGTTACACAGGACGTTAATGTTAATTAAGGCGTCTCTGGGGTTGGCTGCAGCGTGGACGACACTGACTCAGGATGGCTAGTTTCATTCACATAGGATGGGCCCGGGGGGGGGGGGGGGGGAATTGTGACGCTTGCAAGATTATAAGTCTTTGGTCGTGTTTCAAGGATTGAAATCTGATAGTTCACAAGAAACGCCTTAAAACTGCCAGAATTTATCCACTATAATAATTTTTAATTTTTTCCCCACCTGCTTTTGATCGAACGGTCAATTTCACTATGATGTTGACACTCGAGCTGTCGTGGAACAGTTAATCACACATCAGTCGTTTTAGAATTTATTGTTTTAATAATTTCCATCAAAAGTCTTAAGCTAGGTAAAAGTCTCTATTAATAGACAAAGGTATAATGCTGAATATCATTATCTTAATAAATGAGTAAACCATAGCTTATTTAATTATTTTAAATACAGTCTTAACATCTTGTAACTTTGTTTATTTAGAGTCAGCAAATATAGCCTATTCTACCAACAGAATACAATGTGATAAAATAACTAATCATCTAGAGTAACTTGCCTGTAAGCCTGGCGCAGGTAACCTCATGCACAGGACTGTCCAGGTGACTAATTTAGTAAAACCAATGAGGCGGGCGCTGAGCAGCACCTCTCCCCACGCCGGCCCGCGCCACACTGCCCGCCGCGCCTCTTGACTAGCTTGGCCTGATGGGTCAACTACCTGTGACGTCATTCACCTCACCTGACATGAGGCCGCCTCACATACAAATAATTCACGTCACTTCAACAATATTAATATAGAGTTTATTTCTATTAATGTGAAGTATGAGCAAGTGTGAGTATGTATTAAAAGCACATACTTCACTACTGGACATTAAACCCACTACCACACCCACCTAGTAGCTTGGAAGCTCCATAACGCCTTCTGTAACTGTTATGTTGGGGTCTAGGCCAGGGGCCAGGTACAGCAACCAGTTACGGTGTTGTGCGTCCTGTGTGTGTGTGTATTTACTGTGTGTCTGTAGGGTCGAACTCTTAGCTCTTGGACTCCGCCTTTCTAATTTTCGGTCGTCTAATTTACCGATTCAAGACCTATGTTTTCTTTGTCATATCAACTACTTATACACCTCCCCCGCTAGGAAGGCTCCTAGCCTCTCGCCTTCTAAACATTCTTAGATTATTGCAATGTCTCCTTTCACACAACTTTCATATTTGTATTTAAAACTTTGAATCAAACTAGCTTCAACGACTTTAACATCTTACCAGTAAATTGACAACTTATTGACAGCTCTAACATTGAAAAAGATCTCTGACGTCCCTGTGATTCATTGGCTTCTAGTTTTTATCTATAAACCCTCGTTTTGCTGTTCCTAGCTTTGAAGAATACAGCGTTGTGTACCTTGTCAATTTCCCTTAGAATCTTGTATATTGTTAACATATTCCCTTTCTCCTTTCCTCGAGTGTGGTAAGGTGGAGTTCTCACAATCTTTCCTCATATTTTATGCCCTTCAACTCAGGCAGGGGTCTCGTTACATATCTTTGTTCCTGTTCTATTTTATTATGGCTCTTTTTTATTTTAGGTAAGAGTTCCATGTTGAGAATGCATATCCAAGTGCAGGTCTCACCTTCGCTGTATATAGGGCCTAGAAAGCCCCCCTTGTCAATTTTCTTTAGGATATACGAATGTTGTCCAGTATGACATTATGCAGCTGTTTTTATTCTGCAAATGTGGATCTTTGGCATTACAAATGGGGTTATGTCCACTCCCAGGATTTTCCTCCTCCTCCTGACGTAAGAAACTATTTTCTCTTTTCCCTATATTGGTGTACTGGTCTTAATACGCCTGTTACAAATCTCATTACTTTGCATTTGGCTGGGTTAAATTCAGGCAGCCATTTTTCATAACATTTCTGATGTATGTCCAAATCTGATTAAATGCCTCAAGCTATCACTGTCCTTGCTTCTCATCAGCTTTGCATCATCTGTAAATACTGATATAAAGGAGCCAATTTCCTGTCAGGTGACTGACATAAATTAGAAACCGTATGGGACCTAGAACGGAACCTTGTAGTGCTCCACTTGTACCCTCTCTCCACTCTGATGTCTCTGCCCTTTTGCTTTCTTCATGAGAAATACTCCGACCCACCTTAGGACTTTTCCTGTTACGCCAGCCTCTCTTTCGATCAGCTCAGCTGCTTGCTGGCAATACTTGTTAGTAATGTGGGTCTGTGTAACCGTTTGTGTCTTGCCATTTCTTGTAGACTGGTACCACATTAGCCATTTTCCTTCAGTCTGGAAGTTCTCCAGTTTCTATACAGGAATTAATTATAATGCCAAGTGGCCTGCAGAATGCTTCAGTTGCCTCTCTTGGTATACATAACAGTATTGTGTCTGGTTCCAAAGCCCGTGACCAGTACTGACAGCAGCAGCAGTCTAGCAGTGAAGCAGGAGAGAGTCTCCAGTCTAGCATTAAGGGAGGTAGCAGCCGAGGTCCGTGTCTAGCACTGGCAGCAGCGACAGTCCAACAACACAGACGAAGCGGCAACACCACAGTAGTGGAAGCCTTGAGCCTCGCCTCTCAGTTGAGGCTCGTCGAGGTCCGTCTCTCCCCAGGTTATGTCAATATCACTGGACACGCTAAGCTCTACCCACCCAGACAGCACACAAACACAAATGAGGTCCCTATCGTCCCTTGCCCCACCACCACCGACGGATTTGTTGGCACACACACACCACACCAAGAGGCCCTCCCCCCACCCTCCACATTATCCACGAACCCGAGGCCAACCTTCCTAAGGGACCCACTAACACGATCGGCCTCTACACACCACAGGAAAAATTCCCGAGAGAGGGGGGCCCAACATTGGGCCCTTCTCAGTGCCCTCATGTAACAGGGCAATATCGCGCCTCGCACAAGAGCCCCCTCTATCTACTCCTTACCCATCGTCACGACAGCCGACCTGCGCTTGCACCACACATGTACTGTAGGAGCTTACAAACTACACGGTGACGAATGCATAAAGTAACTATATGACAGAACATACAACATACGATGCGTAATGGCGGATTTCATCGAGACTGACCGACCCGACATGCAACTATTAAACAGGAAGTGCATCACAAACGGTCACAATCCGTCACTACGAATACACTACATACCAGTCACCGGTTGAGGCACAATGAAATTGTCGTACTCATCAAACACAAAATTATTGACCCACCATGGCAATTCTGACACTTCAGGCCATAAAACTTCACACACAAAGGATCAATCATTATTATTACCACCTACAATCGGCACTACACCAACATACCACAAAGTAACCTGACTAGACTCTTCAACTACACCAACTTGCCGGTCATTCTGATGGCTGACCTGAATGCTAAACACCCCATTTTTCGCCACAACACACTAAACCAGCACGAACCTCAGCTCCACCAAATATACCTGTAAAGACGACAAATGGCCCCGGGACCAGACTGTCACACGTCCTATGCTAACAACGGCCTCGGGCGACCTGACTTCATATTCACAAACATATCAGGCACCCACAGCACAGACACAACCAAGTACTCAATGGCCTCACTACACTATGCAATCATGTACTCAATAGCCTGGGTCGATGATCACGCCTTGCACTGAACACTCCTAGGGAAAATGGCAGAACAGCACAGAAATACAAACCCTCGAGAATGTTGGAACTTCATTAAAAAAAATAGTAATAATAAGGGTGAAACAACTACACCACTTTCAAACATCACTTACTCACAACGACCGAAACATCACGGACCCAGCAGAAGTCATACAAGTTTCCCGGCAACACTGGCAGACAATCTTTCACCCACACAGCCAACAGCACTACAGAACATACAGGTTAACAACATAGATTACCCGACACGCAGACCAGACAACACCGAACCGCCACAATGATACTAACCTCCATGACTGAAACAGTACTTACGACACCTTACGGGCCTCGGGTATAGGATATACACTCATTAGACGCCTCCCTATGACGCTTATCAACGGCCTGACTGCTCTCTACAATCCCTCCCTTGTTCCAGATAATTTTCTCTACTCTTAAAAAGCAACTTCTATTATTATTCCAAAACCAGGAAACACACACAATGACCCCCAAAACTACCGATCAGTCAACCTACTTGAAACGCTCGGGAAGGCCTTCAAGCATCCAGTAAACCTCAGACTTAGACAACATCTTGAAGACAATGGCCTACTAACTGAAAGACAGTTCGGCTTCAGGTCCCACAGGTCGACGCATGACGCTCTTAACATAGTGCTGAACTACATACTAATCAACTAGAAAGAACGCCGCAAGACAGCACAAGTGACCAAAGACGTCGAGAAGGCCGTAGTGGGGTGACTTGGACACTGACGTTACGATGTAGGACTGGCCAATGTTGTGTTGAGTAGGGTTAACTCGCCAGTGTGAGGACCAATGAGCGTGGGTGACATAACAGAAGATAGTGGACTCACCGAGATAGAAGACTGCAGAATTTATCGTATTAGTGTCCTGTGCGAAAGTGACACTCGCAAAGTACGTATGTGTATATATAGTGATTATATAGTATATATTATATTGGTGAGTGCTGATTAGTATAGTTTACCCACCCTCCCCATTTCCTTTCACGATTACTTGCTATTGCCAATTCTCTATAACTTACTTTTGACTTGGGGTGGGATCAATGAAGAAGAGACATCAAGCCCATTAGCAATGATTGAGATAAAGAACCCGGTTACTGGCCGAGTGAGGCCGTAACACCTTCCGTGTGAGGCATTGATTGTAGTGTACTAGTGGATGATTAGGCATTACAAGGGAGATATTAATAAGTTATTAAATATTTCACTGAATAAACGCGAAACAATAGATATAAATTGAACAAGTTTAGATTTAGGAAAGACTTGGGTAAATACTGCTTTGGTAACATGGTTGACTTGTGGAACAAATTACTGGGTAACATAACAGCCGTAGGATCTCTCGAGTTTGGGTGGATATAAATAGGAGTTGCTAGGTATGATCCTATAGACCCTCTGCAGTTTCCTTCATTCCTGTTCGTATGTTTTTATTCTTGTTGCCGACTTGTTCATGCTCTATCAAAATTATTCCTTGATTACGAGAATTATATATATTGGAATAACATACACACACGGCTTGAAAAATGTATCGTATACCACCACCATACAGTTCAAGGAATATTAAATAATTGAATATTATCTCCACTGGACCTTCACCGTGCTTGTGAAAATATATTTAGTTTCCTTAAAAATATTCCTGAACATTTTCAGTAGATACTACTGTCGTTATCAGTCTTTAAACATTATCAACAGCATCTTCATCAATAATATAAGACTAGTAAAATATCCAAGTTCTTTTGTTGATGTCTAATGCACAATGATACGAAACATCTGATTTGATGTAAATAAAATCAATGTTTTCCTCAATGATTTAAAACCTACATCACTTGTATACATATCATACATGCAATGTGTTCCTGTATTGTAACCGGAGTTTTTTCACACACCTGTAGCGCCCTCACACACTTTTATACGTATCATACATGCAATGTGTTCCTGCATTGTAACCTGAGCTTCCTCGCGTGTTGCAACACAAGAGGCTTTACCAGCAGTGACCATGTGGAGGGGACGGTGGACATTACCTGTAGCTATAGGGAGCCGGTCGGCCGAGCGGACAGCACACTGGACTTGTGATCCTGTGGTCCTGGGTTCGATCCCA